AAATAGTATTAATATAAATATAGTATTAATATAAATACATATTTAGTATTTAGTATTATACAAATTGCTGACTACTATATCAGTTTACCTTACGATCAAATTTATAAGTCTTGGAACAGAGTCCCATTGTAAGTAGAGAAGTGTACTTGTAATTTATTATACACAAATATTGTACTTTTCTTACAGCTTATAATGGGATTCTGTCCCAAAACTGAGAAATTTGGTCGTAAGTTGAATTGATTGTTCAATTTCTTGATAATAACAAAGCCACTAATAACATTACAAAATAATTAATGGTATCAAAGGATGTCCTATTTGCACTGTTTGTATTAAAAAGCCTCGAATATATTCCAAACGTTACTAAATTATCTATAGGGTTATTTAAGTATATAGTAACATGTAGTCGATCATTTTCAGTGAAAAAATCAACTACACTAAACTTCCAATCTTCATTATTTAGCGGAAGTAAATTTGGATTTAACGTAGATGGCATAATTAAATTGGTTTTAGGATTGTCGAACTTTGCTGTGATATAAATAGTGTTGAATACTGTTTCTGATTTTTGCACGGAACCGCATGATGACACTGAATTGTTCAAGCACTGAATTATACTGCATGAACTTACGGCAACATTATCATTAACGAGATTATTTGGAATAGAACGATGACCGTTAAAAACCATTAAACGGTATTTTATACTTGGGTCTATTTTTGCAATTTCTATTCTAAAGTCGCAGCAGAAGTTATTTTGACAGATATTTTTTGTGATATTTTCTTCTAAAGGGAACGTTTCAAAGATATCAGTATCATCATGTAACAAACGTATTTTATCATTGACTATCATTATATTATTTTCCCATTTCTTCCGTGATTCATCGTGCTCCTTCTGATGGTGAGATAATAAAACTTTTTGACTTTGATCCTTTAAAGGATCGTAAGGATCTTCAGTGTATTGAGTTTCTATATTTATTTTGGGTACTTTAAATATCAATATTTCCTTTCGCGTAATTGTAGGCATTATTGCCTTTCCAATTCCTCTACGACCTGCATGAAATGTATTGTATATATATTTGAGATATTTTAATTGTGAAAAGTATTCAAAATATAAAACATGTAATTTTACATACCTAAGTAAATTCCACTGCCAGCATTACCAAAACTAGGTCTGTTATAGCCTGAGGCTAAAAGATTTACATTTTCAGCAAACGACCATCCTGCTTGTAATTGTACAGCTAGAATAATTAATAATATTAGTACACATATACATTTATATTCTGATGAAATCTTGAGAAAGGAGAAAAAATTTTGCCATATTTTGTTTACCTGTTAGGAATGGTACTTCAGAAAACCATGCTGTAGGGTATACAAAATCAGTAACTTGGTGATCTCTTGTTAATTGTAACGCGGGTTTACGAAAATATATATCAAAACATGTAAAAGTTCCAAATTTGACTCCAAAATCAGTATCAAAACTTACTACTTCTGGTGTTGTTGTCACATTAAATTGGTATTCTTTAGAAAGATTTGTTTTACGATATCTGTTTAATTATAATTACATAAGTATAAAACTGCGAGATGTCTTATTGCAACTGTAATTATAACGAATAACTAGATATATTCTAACCTGGCTATAATTTTTCCTGTGCGATCAAATACAACGTTGGTGTTGTAATAGAACATTTTGTCTCTTGGGCAAGGTTCATCAGAGCAAAGTTCTTTCTCAGCGATATTGATTACCACATAGATTTTGTTGCTTCTTGCAGCACATGATATTTTTCTCAATGCCTGTGCTTTCAAAATTCTTTTTAGATAATTTCAATATATTACATTAGTTTCTTGCTATATAAAAAATTGTGTGGTCTATATATCGGTACATACATCGCTAACTTTAAAAATATCTTGACAGCAAGGTATATAATTAAATGAGGCATTAGGAACAATAGTTGTCCAATCCTCCAGTTTTTCTCTTTCCGGAAAATTCATTGTTGTCAAACCAGCTTCAGGAAAAACGATTATATCAACAGCCTAAAAATTTAGATGTCCTAAGTAATTTTTGTAACATACAACATGTTGTAAAAACTATACTAATTCTTGGACGATATAATTGTTTGAAATTATTTTCTTTTAAAGAAAACTTACATAAAGATTAGCTATTTCAATAAATCCTACATATTCATCAGAATTTATTTTCAACGTCTCGTTGCTGTTTATTGAATATTTTGGAGAATATTCTACTACAGCTGCTATATAAGTTGTTGTGTTTGGTGTTGATGTCTGTAATAAAATATGTAGAATTTATAGAATAGTTTACCGAAGATGTTTTAAATCGGACAGTATAATACTAAAAATGTATGTACTGCTAAATATCACTGCTAAATAGATGAAAATTGCTTATGTTTACCTGATGCGATAGATGTGCACATGCTACTAGTAGATAAACAATAATCCACTTCTGATTCATATTTTATAATCTCAATTATGTCTGTAAAAAGAAAAAAGATTATTAAAAAATAAATAGTTTAAAAATAAATAGTTATTAAAAAATAATTACATAATAAGAAATAATGAATAATTTACATAAAAAAATTATAATTTGAAAACAGATCATATATAAAAATTTAAATTATAAATTTTTAATAGCTTCAGAAGTATGCACGTAAGTTTTTTTTAAATTTTTAAAGACAAAGGAATTTTGTATTTATTCTGAATCTATATTTTGGCAAAAAAAGAATTGATATGTAAGTACAAAAATATAAAGCATTATTTAAGACGAAACAAAATTCTTTTTTCATGAATTACATGAGAAAAAAACTATTTTTAAATTGCTATTTTTTGGAAAAAAAACATTTTAAATAAAAATGCTATATCTAGAAAAACACATTTTGGATAAAAATAAAATGCATTTTAAAGTTAAAAGTTGTACTTTAATGTGGCATAAATGAAATTTAGAAAAAAACTTGTTGTCGGTGCCTTTAACGCCGTCTTTTTTACAAAACTTATGTTGCCGCAGGCAAAAATATATTAGAAATGACTCATGCTGGTCTTGGAAATTTTATCGGACAATATTATCTGCGTAATTTTCCGCTAATTATTAGAAACGTAATCCTCTAATCGTGGGACTTGAAATGACGCGTACTTACGTATTCTAGTAAAACTTGAAAAAATTTTGGAAAAAGTTATGCCACGATCATTTTAATTTTTATATATAATTTAGACACATAAAAATATGTTTTTTTAATCTGAAAATTAGACAATGGTATTCTTACGTATTTCAAAAATCGAGCTATTTTTCGTCAATATTGTGAAATGTTATGACATGATGAAGCAATTTGAACATCGGATTTGATTTTAGAGTGTCAAAATACATAAGAATAGCATAATAATATCACATTTTGTTAATACAAATTTAATAAATCATTTCTGTATTCACATTTGAATAAAATTTTTTTTTCCAATATTGCGTACTTATAAAACATTACTGATCAAATTTTCAAAAGATAAAGCTACAATATCCTAAATTATATACACAAACTGTAAAGTAGATTAGACAGAATGAGTTGAAGCAATATGTGATATAATGGTATAAATCTGTGTTGAAAAAATAATTGATATAATTACCTAGAGTAAAATTACTTATGTACTGCAGACAAGTTTCTTCTTCGTGCGATCTTATCATGTACGTAGCGTAATACTACTGGTGCACATTCGCGCTTTAAGTTACCTATAGAGAAATTGATATTTTAAGTTCCCTTTCCACGATCCTGTTGCGATCGTCAGCGCGGCCGGTGGTTCAGTTTTTTTCCTCGAAGCGTTTTCAAACGAACAGCAGCAATTAGATCGGAATTAGATTTTGTCGCGCATACTATTTTGCATATTCACGAACTCCAAAAGTCCATAGGTTAACGCGCTATTGCTGTTTTTTTTGTACTTAAGTTTAATAGGAGGAGTTTGCGAGATATGACCACATGAGAGAGTTAACCACTTAAAATATCACATTTAAATTTCGCTTCAACTTATGGCCTTGATGGCGAATCAGTTTCAATTATAATTGTTAATTACATTTTTTTTTATACGTTGTCTTATCATAGGGTTACACCAGGAATGTTTCTTCACAATGTTATTTCAAATTCTATAGGTCATTAATTAGTTATAGTTCGAAAAAATACATTGAATACATTTCTCTGTCACGTCTGATATAAAATTTTGTTTAATTGCATAAATAATATTATGGATAGACTATATATTTTAAATTCTTATTTGATTCTCTATAAAATCTTTTCTGAGTTAAAAGTCGTGGAAATTTTTATAACAGATATCTTCTGCCGTAATGTTTTTATGTTTGTATTTTTATTTGACAGCGCTTTATATACAAATAATTCTTGATAAGATAAGATCAGATTCACAAAAAATGCAAAAACAATATAATGATTGATCGATCGACAATGATTTAATCATTGTAGAATGAAGAAAGAAAAGTAATTTTATAAAATAGTCTTTTGTGTGTGATGTTACAATATTCTTTTTTAAAAATTATTTATGATGGCTTATGACATTATTTTAGAATCGAGCTTTAATTTTAATGTATCGTTGGAAATATAAAATTATAATACATTTATTCATATAATTATTTGCTCGAAATTCGAGTAGAAGGACCGAAACTGTTATGTAGTATGTAAATTATATTTTTCACGGGGATTCATTATGATACGTATCGATCCGGAGACGCATCACCTAATAATGATATTATTATCGTCTACGAATATTTAGGTATCTCTAGATTGGCCATTGCTGGGCCCTTCCGTATACAGTCGGCTGCATCATAGTGTGCTGTGACAAACGCAGAAAAAATCGCCAGGTATAATCCGGCGTTTGGAATCGGTATGCATCCCAAGTGTGTACAGACCTATCACAACCAGCCACTCCGGTCTTTTAACTCTGTCGTCCGTTTCTGGATCGCGTAGTTCTGATAGGTTCACCGATCTTCTTTCCTCATCGATAATTGATTGTGATCTGCAATATTAGTTCTGCCAATAATCCGATATTTATTATCTATCAAATATCGGTAGAAATTCGCTTTCACAGAATTTTATTTAAAGAACTTATTTCTATATATATGTTTATTTTTCATGCAAAATAGAAGACACTTTTTAGTTTGCGTTTATGTTTTTAAAGCTTTATTTTTAGCTCTTATTTAAGAGATATAGTTTAAACTCTAAAAACAAAGTGGTATGATATGGCATTGGCGATCCTCCTCTATATTTTCCGGTAAAAAATGAATATGTATAAATATACATAAACATGTATAATCATATACGAAATATGTTCATACATGTTCATAGATTTATTAGTCTTTTGTAAAATTAGCGTAATAAAAATAATGATAGTAATGTGAAAACATTGAAAATAATTAAAGATAAGATAATTATCGCATTGTTCGTTTTAGAAAAAAACAAGTTTCAAAAAATGTAAAAAAAAATTGTTTATACACAATTATGCATAATTTTAGATATAATTATACATAAGTACTTTTTTTACATTTCTTCAAACTTAATTTTTTTCTAAAACAAATAACATGAAAATTACTCTTTTAATTATTTTCAATGTTTTCATATTACTATTAATATTTTTTTTTATTTATTCATTAAAAAGTAATTTTACAAAAGAAAGAGAGATGTATGAATATGTATGGACATATTTCATATATGATTATACATGTTTATGAATATTTATGTATGTTTATTTATATTTATACATATTCATGCATGAACAATGTTTATTTTTTATTTTATCGCTTGAGATGTTACAATTTGAGATAGTAGGAAAGTGATGAGCAAACATGTGCAGAAACCTTAAGACATATTTTTTTTTAAACCTTTATCAATTTAAAATAAAAAATTTTAAATAGATTTTATAAGAATTTTTTATATTTTAAATTTTATAAAGATTTTTAAAAAATATCTCTTAATGTTTCTATTCACTCATTACTATTATTTTATATGTGATAATTTCGATATTATTTAATTGATGGTCATTTCTCGTTAGCTTGATGTGCATTCGTTTAACTCCGCTTTTTTATTGTTTTAAAGCTAATTGTTAGGTTTTTTTTTATTAATTTTCTTACCGATGGTAAATAAAAATAGGTTTTTTACGCCACTTAACGACTAACACTTTTCCCTCCTGTATACCATTTAATTTCACTTCTAATTGAGCCTGTGCCAAGAGATCTCGTGTAGGCATCCAAAACAACACATAATGCAGTAAGTGAGCTTTAAAACCGTATAATCCGGCAACACTAGCAATTGATAACATTGTATTTAATTATATATATATATCTGAGTTAACTGAAGATTCTACAGAAATATTTATTGTTTTCATAGAAGAGTTTTCATATTTGATGATATAAAATATCAATGATACAGGAAAGATATGATAAAATTTTTTAGAAATATTACCAAAAAAGCACATGCTTCTTAACTCTCTTCGTTCATCAAGGTTTATCGTTTTGGGATCCTTCAAAGATTCTCGTCAATATTCATCAAAATTGGGTCTTAGTAAATCACTAGGAATATCTGCGCAATTTCTTAAAGTCTGATTCAAAATAATATGAAAGTAATTATATACAAGGAGTAAATTATATACATTATTATTCATGAAAGATTGATAAAACTAATTATCACGTTGTTCTTTATTGATTACTTTACTGATTACTATTTATCAGCATTCTATCATGATTTGTAAATATCATTGTGAAATCATTAATTGTTGATTTACTGTATGTGACTGATTTTAAACTAGCTGCGTTCTATTTAACGCTCGCACGCTCGCGAGCATCGTTTATCCTTGTTTGATAAACGATAAAGATAAAATAATTTCACGAGTGTCGTGTAAGTGGAACGCAATTTGTAAATTATAATTTATAAATAATAAATTAATTAAGATTAATTAATTGATAGACATGATTTGTCTTTTCTCAAGTGCATATAGAAAGTCAAAAATTCTATTTTGAAAGAGACGCTATTGTACATCTCTTATCGAAATATTAAGGTTTTTTTGAATATAATTTAGTAATATTATTTACATTTCAGTATATCTCAAATCTTTCCCGAGATAAACTATGTAACAGATTTTACTTTCCATATAAATACTTACAGTTAACTTGGTATAACTGTAACAAGGATGAGAGGCATTTATCGTAATTCGCAATAAAAACACTGAATATGTATTTCCTTGAACAAAACATTTTTAATAATAACACTTATTTAAATATATTTATTGTTATATCGCTGTAGAATATTTGACAATATAAGTAATGTCTGAAGTTCCGTAGAAATTTTATTTTTTCTCACTTTAATTGTCAAACAAGCAACTATGGTCGTACATTACTGCCAATTGATTGTCAGTATTGAAAATCTAATATAGTTCCCGGTATATTATACTGTACTGACAATTGGCAATGATATATGAATACGATTTATACAGTATACATTGATATAAATATATATATTATGACACATAAGTGTACAATTTATGACATATAAACAATTTCGAAATTATAACAT